GGGAAATTCACATCGCGTGACCTCAACACCAGTTCAGTTTCCCGCTAAATTTAGCGAGGAAACCGATGTCTTATAATGAAACGCGCGCGGTGACATTGACGGCGACGCCGCTCAACCTGAAAACGGGCACCTAAGAGCTGCGCTCTAAATTAAATATTGCATGATGCAAACTGGTACCTGTCGGAAGCCTGTCGACAATGGCTAGAGACGTCGTGAAGTTAGTGTGGCATACCATAGTTTGAAACCACATTTCCTCGGTGATTTGGCACGGATGCACCTAAATTCCCTTAATGTTCCCAAAACACAGAAACTCCTATGGTTAGATTAAGAGCCGTGTCATGACGCTCGAATCCGCTACGACGTGGCGGCACCATACAATCGGAATGAACCGAGTACGCCAACATTGCTAAGCCTGCACGCGAGAGGGTTAATGGGTCGGCATTATCTTTTTACAGATCACACTAAGCGTTCCTTGATAGAGAAACCCCTTACAAAAGGCTAACATACCTATCAACTTCCCACCGGTTGCAATTCATCAGCTATTCTGAGCTCCCATGCATGTACATTTTTTTCACGAATATGATTGACACCCACCAATCGGAAGGTTTGATCGGATAGATTCGAGCAGTCGACATGGAAGGCGGTACTCCGAAAAAATACAAGGACTACTATATGGGCAAACTGCAATTTAACCTCGTTGAATACTTGGCAGTTTCATGAACACCCGTTTCCTGTCCCGATAGCCATCTTCAACTACACTAGTGAATGTCTCGGCATATTCTTCATTAGTTCTCTAAATTTTCTTTGCTGGTTTGTGCGACCACACACCGACGGCAGGTAGCTCTGCCGACAACGAAACCTGGGGAACATGGTAGGGACGTACCAGAGTCACATTAGCTTACATTTGCCAAGCCTTTCTTGCTGTCTACATTTCTATGTCTTGAGTGCCGCATTGTTTTGGTTCCCGATAACCGTCAGCATTAGGAAGAACTGAATGCCAGCTGCTGCCTGCTGCTCTGTACACAAACTCAACTCTGTTACGCCATGGTGCAGTCAGTCAACTGCACTTCCGGTCTGGGGCTGTGGGCAGAAGTCACCATGCAGGATCTGCATACCTGCATTGCTTTGTAAGAAACCAGACATAAACCTGCCTTCTCATCAAAACGCCGCGATTGGGGCTGTACCAAAAGAGTCGAGAAAGGTTTGAATGTCAGTTTTCATGTGCTCGGTTTGTCCGAGAACATGGATATGTGCCACGAAAAGGAAAAACCAGACGCCGTCGGACCGGGTTTGCTTGAGCGGGAAGCTCTTTGGGTTGAATTCACGGATACTTGTGGCCATCAGATATATTTGTTTTGTTCCAACATGAACGCCAGAAAACCGTCAAGTTGTACGGTCCACCTGCAGACTACGTTCAGTGAGTCTTCAAGTTCAAATGGCCACGTGATCGTTCGAACTATCGTCTGCTCTTTCAGGCGACGCCGGCCCGTAGACCAAATGTTGGCCTGGTAATTGCAAAAGTAGTAAGTGGCAGGCCCGAAAAGACTTTTAAGTTTGAAGGCTGGTTGGGGTAAGCAGGCTTGGTGTAAATAGTAGATAGAAGGGGATATTGATCATTGTTACCAGTGGCCATCTCCGACTTTTTATGCCCGATTCACTTGGTCCCATTCTGCTTGCGATTTTCAGTACCAATGTCGGCCATCTCAGCTATGGTTTACACTTTTGCAGCCCAAGTAACGTCGCGACTGAAAATTGCGAGCGGAATCTTATCATGTGAATCAGGCTTTAGCGGCCATGCGGAATGAATCGTTGCATGTCACGTTATTCACGCAAAGTTTTGCGGTGTAACGAGCCTCAGTAATTTTGCTGAGTCCGCTCAAGTAGTGAGACATTGCCAGTTTTAACGCGAAAAAGAGCACGAGGACTTGCACTGATGCCGACAACATTGCATTTCAATGGTTTGCTTATGGGCGATGGCGAGCTTCTTGCCCACACTCCATCGCACATGTGCGGTGCCCGTGGTGTCTGCTAGGGGCGCTCCAGTTTGTTTGCAGACATGAGATGATCTATAGCAGGGGTGGCCAGGCTGACCGGTCCCAAGAGCCGCGGGGGGAGTTTGCAAGCTTTTGTTTAGATTTGAGAGCAATAAACGAAACTCGAACTAATTTCGGTCTATCTGAGTCAAAAGCAGTCCAACTGTACGTAAGGTAGCAGTAGCACAAGACTACCAAACCGCAACCTGCATTTTGATTTAAAACGCGTTTCGTTTTTGTTTGGAGAAGTGCTCGTGTGAGCGGGAGGGAGGTGGCGCAGTGAGTGTGTGTGTGTGGGGTAGGGGGGGGGGGGGGGGGGGGGGGAGGGGGAGCCACGAGCTGCAGCTTGGCCACCCCTGATCTATAGTGTTTTTCTTCTCCTGTTGTTCTCAGTCACATGGGTTCTGTATCTCAGATGCGGGACGAAAAAATAATAAAGCATTTCAACCTGGAATATGCTAGAAAATATAGGTGAGGCAAAACAAGAATGTGTGACAATCACACATTTTTGGGCTGCACCCTTGTCGAAAAGGTGTATGGCTGAACTTTGTGACACATGAGCCGGATAAAAGTGCGAAATTCGGGGACGAATGTCGTAAAACATGGGCTGGTTACGCAAATTCTACAAAATAGAAGTCTGCATACGACCGCCTCAAAGTTTGTGATATAAACAGATATGCTAATTACAGTGATTAATAAGTTAATTAACAAATTTTAGTTAATTAGTCTGATAATAATAACTACAGGGTGATTCAAGGAGACGCCAGGCTCTTTAAATCGACCGCAAAATTCGGTTTCTTAACCTATCGCGCTACGACTTTGTGCAGCGTTGCCCACAGATGGTGCATTTTTTTTGTGAAATTTGCAAAGAGCGAACTTGCCTGAGGAAAAAGTAAAGAGAGAAAAAGGCTTAGCCCCTATGGAAACGCAGCGACGCCACCGGTCTTCAAACAACACGGCACCGTTTTGCACGGGAGACAAGGGATGGTGCAAGCGGTCGCGACGCTAACTGCCGCCAACGAACGAGCATACGACGCCGAGAGCCGGCGTCTTTAGCAGACAAGGAACTGCAGTTCCTTGTTGTTACCGTGCCCGTTTTTGTTTCTGCGACTGTCGCCGCCTGGAAACGCGCGCCGCTTTTGAGTCGAAAAGATTGTCTGCTAAAGACGCTGGCTCTCGGCACCGTATGCTCGTTCGTTGCGCCATCTCTTGTCTCCCGTGCGAAACGGCACCGTGTTGTTTGAAGACCGGTGGCGTCGCTGCGTTTTCATTGGAGCTAAGCCTTTTTCTTTCTTTACTTTTTCCTCAGGCAAGTTCGCTCCTTGCAAATTTTACAAGAAAAAATGCACCATCTGTGGGCAACGCTGCACAAAGTCGTAGCATGATAAATTAAGAAACCGAATTTTGCGGTCGATTTAAAGAGCCTGGCGTGTCCTTGAATCACCACGTATAACAATCTAATGTCTGTAGATTCATATAAACCTGCAGTGAAAACCGCATTCGTGTAACTTCTCCTCCCCTTTATTTAAAAATTTGGTGCAGCTAAAGAAAAAACACCCTGTATTGGCGACTCCAGCGAAATCGATGCTACTTAGCAGCAACTCCAAGAAGCTCGAGAGAGGAAGTTGTTTCGACTCTGTCGTCTGTTATCGCTGCTTGGTTCTCTTAGGCAGCATAGAAACAAACATTGTTTCCTGTAATCATTTCTATGCCTCCGCCGTTTCATTCTTACGCAGACTAGAAGAAGGTTTCTACCATCGAAAAATCACTTTGCTTTCATATGTAACACTGATCTTATGCTGCAGTGCAAGAAATTCATGGTGGTCTGTGTGCCGAACAATGAAAACGACCTTCTTTCGTTTGCCATTCTGTGTGCCGAACGACGAAAACGACCTTCTTTCGTTTGCCATTTTGGCTGACCAGTGTGCCCCCTATAGTTTGCTGGAGTTTCAAATACCCTTGCTGCTTGTTCCACCCCACCATGTTTATTTTGCCAATCAAGTAAGAAACGAAACAGTTAAAAGTGTGGCCAAATATTGCCGGCCAGAAGCCTCGTATATGGGGCAGAACTACATGCAGTCTGAGGGCGTGAAAGGGGATAGCCACCCTACCCTATCTCGATGAAAATGACATGAATCTCGATGGTATGTCATTTTCTTACCGAGCACTGCGGGAAGGAACCGTCGTTCTTGCAGGAGACTGACGCACATGCGCCGTTGTGCCTCTCCCCTTGATGGCAAAATATTGCAAGCGAAAATTGCTCGCCAAAAGCTGAAAAATAAACTATTGTAATTAGTTGCAAATCCTACTGTATCATACAAAAGGGTTGTTGTGGAAAGCTTTTTTTTTTTTTTTTAGTAAAGACGGCCACAGAAGACAAAAAACCTGCAACTCACAACAGTAAAAAAAACAACATAAGGTTTTATTTTTGTGTAGGAGCATGTTAATATAAGAGTAAGTATCGACAGGAAACAATAAGCCGAAACATATTTACTGTTTTTTATTTCCTTTTGATGGATTGGGGTCTGGTGCAGTCGATCTTTATGTTTTCAACTTAGATACTTTTAATAAAATATTTACCATTACAAATAAACAAAAGTATATCACTGTGAGTGAAACTTATCTTAGTTTAATTGCCGCGTAAAATTTTCAGGTGTATAATACGCTTTCGGACAGCACAGAATTTCGGGGTGTGCGCGTTGGTGAATTTCCCTTAATAGTTATTTCTTGAGTCGCGAAAATACCGTCCTCTGCTTACTTCTTCTCCCCCCCCCCCGGGTCAGGGTGTCCCGCATTCCACCGGCAGGAAGGTGGTCACCCTAGGATAGAGATGGGTCAGTATAAGAGAATTGTGTGCACCGCTGGCATTTCCACGCTGCATGGCAAATTACGGCTAGCATGGCAAGTTACATAGTTAGAAATCAATCCAGCAGAAGACATGTTGCATGGCAAAAATTGACAAACACGGCAATCCAACAGCCATTTAAGAAAAGCTCTTTACAGAACTATCTTCCACAACCGCTTCAGAGAACAGGCAGCCCTTTCGTTGCAGTACCGTTCTCCTCGCTCAACTGTGGCTTCACAGGGTTTGTACTGTCCAAAAGGGGCTTTATGGTGGCACGATCGCCTGCAGCCATCAGGCTCTGGCAGGCGTAGCACAGCTCGCGGCACCCTTCGTCCTCCAACGTAGTCAGCGAAGTCCGCTCCTCCCCTTCGCGTTGCCTGGACGTCTCTCGCGTAAGCCTGAGCGCCTCAACGGCCGAAGCCACCGGCACGTCGACGGTGTCCAGCGGTGAACCACACAACGAGCACGAACCCGCGGTCCGCACGGGAGGCGCGATCTTATCGCCGGTGCGCCAGATGGTAGACACGGTCGCCGGGAAGTCCCGCTGAAGCCCGTTCACGAACCGCTCCGTCAATCGGACGATGCTCGCGGCTTGTTTCGGCGGCGACTGCCGAAACGTCACGTTTCGATGCTGGTTGAATAGGTCCACTTCTTCTGCCGAAAACTCCCGCATGGGGCGAAGAAGCTGGATGTGGCCGTCGCGGTCGTCCAAGAAGCTCACCTGATCGCGAAGCTGTGAACCCCGGCCGAGCGCTATGGTGGAGAGTAGCGTCGCGGCGAGTTGTGTGCCGGTTTCGGCCGTGAACACCTTGTCGAACCCGTTGTCTCGGGCGAGTTTCAAGAGAAGCCGTCGTAACGTGATTCTGTGGAAGGACTCGCGGTCGGTGGCGCTCTTGAAGGAGGAGAACGAAGACGCCAACGTCCGACGGCAACCGTCCACTTCGGCGATGGGCACTGTCGAACCGTGGGTTGCGGGATCGAGGGTGACGACGTCGGAACAGACGACGAGCTCGAGCGGCACGGTGTAGAAAGGTAGGTTCGACAAACTCATGAGCGAGACGGCCTCCTCCCCGAGTGAGGGGTCGGCCTCGGACTTGCCCGATGCGACGGAGTCGTCGATGTGGGCGAGGCTGGGTTCGAAGAGAAACCGCTTGTGAGCGTCTTCGGCGAAGCCGTCAAGTAAGAGGGTGAGCATGGCGGCCGATGAGGGGCCGCCCGAGAAGGCGACCAGGATCTTTTGTTTCGGTTTGATGAGTTTAGACTTGCCGAGGGTGGAGCGAAACTTATGCGTGGAGGCAGCGAGGAAGCACGACACGCAGTAAGCGTCTTTCTTGCGCAGGACCACATGAGCTGTGTCATCGCACGTCTTACACGTGTTACCTTTGGCGTCTTCGAGGATACCGACGGGAGGAACAGCGTCGGGTATTCCGTCGCACTCACACAGTGTCGAGCACATTGTCAGGTCTACTTGTGTAGCTTACCGTAGTGCCACTCATTTAGCGATCTAGCTTGTTGTTTTACTCCTGTTAAAATACGTGCGAAACAAACCAGGTACAGAGTAGAGCACTATATAGCTCCTACGGAGCAGAGTAGCGCAATCCTTTGAACCCCGTGTTTTGCCGACAACATGGCCGACAGAGCGGCTCGGCGCGAGTCACGTGGTACTCAGGGTTCCAGGAGGCGGCCCGCCCTATGGGAGAATACATGGAGATCGACATAACACGGCTGATTAAAAAACTAACGGCGAGTTCACATTTTTCAAAACTAGCCTGTCGTGAAGTTAGTAAAGCGCTAAACACTTTATCAAAGTTTTAATAATATCGGATACGTGTGCAAATTTTGAGAAGGCAATTTCCGAGGCAATGGCGTTTGAAGCAGACGATTTTTGCTCGCAGCGGAGATGGGCTTTTCGGGTTGGCCGGAGCGGGTCACGTGAATGGTGTGACGTCGCCGTGTCGTCTGCTGCATGATGCCGCTCAGGCAATTTTTTAAATAAAGTTACGTCCTTGTATGGCACAAAACTTATCGCATATTATTCTAAAATGTTTCATTATTATGTCAAAAATGATTTCCATTCCGCACATCCCCACAAAACTGAAGAAGCAACGATTTTCTCACGTTCCCCATGCATTTCTGACCGCAGTTGGAACCCCCGGGCGTTCGCCGCTAGTCGCCGAGAGACGGCGTTCTAGATTGCGCTACTCTGCTCCGAAGGAGCTATATAGTGCTCTAGTACAGAGCAGCTGATGCAAGCTGATGACACTCGAATGGATTGGGAATGGCTTCCATACGATCCGGAAGTTTTAATATCAGCCAACGTGAGTTTGGCTTCAGCTAGTTTAAAATACGTTTTTAGCCAGATTTCACCTTCATTGGATTTAATACTTTACAAAACTAGCTTGCTTATGGCTATTAATACTTATATTATCAAATTCTTTGACTGCTTTTTCAATATACTTTTATTTCGTATTGCAACACCTTTGCTTTTCTACCGCTAGGTGACTATGTTAAATTTCGTTGATTTCATTTTGTTGCAGAAGCACGTGTTTCTCGCGTATCACTCACGTCATCTGGAGATTTTCTCGTTATTGTGACCTTTAGCCGTCGATTATTTCGTGAGTGACGTCTCATATCAAGAAGTGAGCTCCCCTCTTTCCGTCGGTGCCATGTCAACTCGTGCGAGATGCGACTGGAGGGGTTGCCGGTTGGTGGCATCGGCGGCGACCGATTTTTGCTGCTCTACGCTTCGCAAACTGGACAAGCCGAAGCCATCGCACGCCGCATACAAGGCATGTCTCTCGGACACAATCTCAAACCAGACTTGCGCTGCGTGAGCTCTTTCGACGACAGCTTTAAGGACCTCCAAACTGAAACCTGCATCGTCGTGATCGTGTCGACGACCGACGACGGACTCGTACCGGAAAAAGCGCGACGCTTCCTTCGCTCGCTGCGCAAAGCTCCAGATCTTTTCCTATCGGGTATCAGGTACGCTATCCTCGGGCTCGGAGACACGAACTACTCGAATTTTTGCAACGGAAGCAGGATCCTAGAGGCCCGATTCGAAGCCCTTGGAGCGGAGAGATTCTACGAGACTGGCTACGCGGACGACGCGGTGGGGTTAGAACTCGTAGTCGAGCCTTGGATCGAGGGTCTCTGGCAAGCGCTTCGCGATTGTTTAGGGTCAGCGATGGCGGCGACTGGGAAGTCGCAGCATATCGAGCGTCCTTTAGGTGCGCCCGCAGTTGAGGGTTTGACGAAATGCTGCCTGCCGTCTTCGGTCGAACTGACGTTACCTCAACGGAAGGAGCCGACCGTCATGGTCGAATTCACCAAAGAGCCGCCGGTGGAACACACCTGGCAAGGTGGGAGTTCACTGCCGTTCCAGGACTCTGACGTCGTGGAGGCGACGCTGATCTCGTCAAGGATGTTGACGTCCTCGGATGCTGTACGGGAGACGTGGGAACTGACCTTTCAGCTTCCGTCCAAAGCCAAGATTGACTTCAAGCCCGGCGATTCTTTTGGGTTCCTTTGTCCAAACAGGACCTCCGATGTTCAAGAGTTGATGGCTCAAATTGGGTGTACCGGGGGTACCTGCAGCATCTCGGTGTCACCTGGGAAGCCATCTAAGGGCTTCGAACACCTTCCCAAGAACCTGTGTGACTTGAAGTGGGTGCTGAAGACTTGCTGCGACTTGAGAGGCGTTCCTAAGAAAGTGTTTTTGAGAGTTCTCGCAGACCATGCTTCGGACGAGAAGGACAGGCGGCGCCTTTTGGAACTCTCGAGTCGCGAGGGTGCCAAAGACTATGCGAACTTTGTCCTCGAGTCGAGGACATCCATTTTCTCCATCCTGACGGCTTTTCCATCCTGTAAGCCTTCGGTGGCTGTTCTGTTGGAACATCTGCCTCGGTTGATGCCACGCTACTACTCCGTTTGTGGCTGGGAGCCCGCTCAAGGACAAGGTTCACGTAACTTTAAGATAATCTACAAAATGTGTCCGTTTTCAACTCTAAAGGGCACTAAGGAGCAAGGGCTTTGCACTGGTTGGCTCACCAGTCTAGCTGAGGACGTTACGAATTCCAAGAGCGTTGTAAAAAAAATGGAAAATCTACGGTTGGCACAGTCGGAGCAACGGAAGTGTGTTGTTCCTGTGTATTTGCGACGAAACATTTCCTTCAGGTTTTCGGAATCGCTGGACATTCCCATAATAATGATAGGTCCGGGTTCTGGAGTGGCACCTTTTCTATCTTATCTCCAGTGGCGGCGAGAGGCTATGAGAGCTCCCAGATCGGAACAGCACGATAGTGAGACATGGCTGTTCACTGGTTGTCGCCACCGACATCTCGATTTCCTCTACGAGGCTGAACTAGAACTGTTGGTACGGGACGGCACACTTTCAAATCTGGTTGTTGCATTTTCCCGTGATCCAGAAATTAAGGAAACGAAAGAAAATCCCCAGACAACGTTAATGTCGGAGCACAGTTGCGACTTGCAAGGTTCCGAGAAGTGCGCAATGGAGATGGTTTCTTCAGGAGCCGAACAAGCGAAATTGGATATTGATTGTAGCTTACAATCAGCTATTGGTGATTCCAAGCCAAATGTTTGGCTGCATGCTGGCAGATACGTTCAAGACTGCCTCCGAACTTGCAGCAGTGATGTGGCCCGACTCCTACGGAAGCAAGGGGCTCAGGTCTATGTGTGTGGTGACGCCCGTGGAATGGCAACCGGTGTGAGAGATGCTCTTGTGGACATTCTTGTTCGAGAGGGTGATGCAGCTTTGGTGGCGGATGCACTGACTTCATTGAAGGCGATGCAGAAGCAGGGGCGATACCTGCAGGACGTATGGACATGAGCAGTCTGATAAGAGTGATGCTTGGGCGAGTTGGTGACCCGGCTATTTTTGTCGGCATAGAACTCGATTTTAATCGAGCATGTAAGAAACTGAATTCGCCTTCTAGAATATTGAAGCGAGCCTTTATGGCCAAAGACTTTGTTCTTAAATGAGTAAAGAAGAATATATTCAGGCATTGGGACTGCACATTCTTTGCTGGATGCTCTGTGATTTTTTTATGGGTAAACAAGTTACATTGCCTTTTGTTTCAGATGCACACTGGAACAAAAGGGTTGTGTCTTCTGCAGCAGTTGCAGGGCTGTTTCCTCCGAAGTACCATGATGCCCATCTTGCTATATTTTATCTAAATATGGGTTAATTTGCACCAGTCTTGCTCAAATAGTTTACAACCCTCTTTCTTAAAGGGGCACTAAACCACTTTCTGTGATAATCTAATTATAATCATGACTGTCTTTGAGCTCTGAGCATCCTAAGAAACTGAAAGTTACATTCTTACGTGGCTGATTTCTCTATTAAAATTTGTATCAATGATTGATTGCCTCGAATCTATCACTGACACCAGATGGCACCTTTGAATGAGGAGAAGAACTGCTCGGTCCGGCGCCATCTGGTGTCGGCCATAGTTTTGAGATAATCTATTCTTGATACCGATTTGAGTAGAGAAATCGGCCCTGCATAAATGTGATGTTTGGTTTTTTAGGATGCTTAGGGCCTATAGAGTTATGACCATAAATAGACTATTGCAGGGAGTGGTTTAGTGCCCCATTTAAACTAATAATGTAGGCCGTGGTACTATCGCGGACAATATGAGCTGAAACAGCGCTCTGGCCTGTGCACGGTACTATCTGCGCCGCCTGTCGCATCGCTCCGCAAATACGCCGCACCCTGAGCTTGAGATGAATTCTCACTTGCGTTCACTGCGCCGCCGCGCTCTTCCGGCCGTCTGCTAGCGAAGATATTCGCCAATGGAACCACCATCACGATGCGTGTGCCGTGTAGCCCAATGTTCACGGTTTTCAGCTAACATGCAGTTCAGTGCCTTTCAAGAAAGCGCCAAAGTGTAAAATGCATTGTCACGCTCGTATCTCCTCGAGGAGCGCTGCCTGACGGAGCTGCCTTGGCCCCCAAAAGGTGCCGATCTGAATATCATCGAACACGTGTGGAGGCGCATCAAGGTAGCCATGTCACTGAGTCCCCTTTAAAGCGGTGAGACGTGAATGGTTTCGTGCCGAGGCAGGCTTCGTGGCCGCGCTGCATGATTCCTCGGCAGGGAGAATGAGAGCCGTGAAAGCTGCTACGTTTGCGACACACTGTTCCGTGCCGTTAACCGGCGCATACTTAAACGCCGACTATTAATATTTTATGTCTGACATTGTCCTCTGCGAATATTCTTTCGATGAAGTTTCAGGCTACTTCTCAGGACAAATATATGACTGTTTGTCACACTTTATTAAGACTAGAAATTTATAATTAAAACACTGGTGTCTTGTCATCAACTTTTCTTGTTTGAAAGAAATACGTGGGCCCGGCAATACTAAAATAATATTATTGAATATTTTTATTTCAATCAAGATTACAAAACCGTCGCATTAACATGTATTGTTACCGTTGTTTTTAAACAGCTGTGCTCAATAAAAAAGAAAAAGAAGAAGGAAATAGATTGGAGAAGGTCTCAGTCCAGTAAAAAGATTTTGGTTAATATTTTACGATGTCCTACTTTGTAGATGCACTAATTCAAATAAAAACAACCTGCCACGTAATTTCATGGGACTTTGAAAAACGATAATCGCAGCTGCAATTTTAGATAGCGCAACATTCTTAATGGACTGTTTCCAAAACCGACGCGCCCCAATGCGGCGAAATACCACGCAGTGCACTCTGGGAACTAGTTGGCCACTCAGTTTCGGTTTCGACTGAGCAGCTTTCATCTCATGGCTCATGCTATCACGCCGCCACCGAACGCGCTGCTTGCGTTTTCGATTATCTGACTTTTTTTCCGAATGTACAATACACTCATTCTCGAGCGATACAAAACGAAGGCCGGGGCACTTTCCTTGGTTCCCGAAACACCGGATATTATGAGTGCGTATGCAAACGTACGTAGTAAGACGTGGCTTAGTCACCTCATCTTTGAGTCCAATTTCAATAATCCCGTCTAGTACCAGTGAACTACAAGTGAAATTCGGTCACCTGGAGCATTACACGTATTTTGTTTGCCAAACGTCCGCTTCTTGTTACTTCATTGGGCGAAAAGCAAGTCGCGTCCTCACAGGAGTATCAAAGTTGAGCCCAGCGTTGACGCATGAACTTTTAAGGAAACGCAATAAATTCGACCTCACTATTGCACCAAAGTTACTATGATGTCGTCCTCGTGTCATCATATATCCCCCAGTCATATTTTATGCTGATAGAAGATTAAGTTTTCGCAAACGCTGAGCCTCGGCTAGCTACGACGGAGGCCTTAACAAGCGTCCCCCTACTCCTCGCTAAGCCTTTTTGGACGAGCTTTTACTGACGCCGAAGATCTGTGCCTGAACGGTGTGTCCGAAATTATCTCGGCATGCTCAGGCAGGAAGAAAGCAAACACATAACACATATTATGGACATTAGCGACCGTCAAATGCACTTTGAATAATTTCGTTTTTTTGGCGCACCGCATAGGGGTTCATGCCCGTCCGGCGTACTTCTGGCGAATAATGCGACATTTTTCACACAAGTGCTCGACTTTTGCTTTCTTAAAACGGTTTGTATGCGCGAATGTGCCTATACGATTGCAGGATAACTTTACGCGCATACGCGATGTTGAATATTAGTAAAATGCAAATGGGTGGGCAAAGCTTCGCTTCGTGCAGTGCTGCGGGTCAGTACAGATAAGAGATAAGAAGTGTGTTATAATTCAATGGCACCTCCGAGTTTTACCACGCGTACACAGGCGTATTAAGAAAATCGATAATTGCAAAAAGTTATATTTCGTCTATGGACGCACGAAACAAACTTCCTGATCAACATCACTAATGTAAAGGCGCGAGCTCGATGTATGCATACTTATTGGTGTCTACAGCTTGTTGATTCGTACACAAGCAAGATTCCCGAGCTCCCACTCCCAGCACTCCCAGCACTGGCTCGTCCACATACCTCGAAATGCTAACAGAATGGCTAAGTACAAAAATACAACAAGCATGTCTTAAGACAAGCTATACGTCTCGGGCTTGTGCTAGAGCTTCGAGGTCTGACCATCTAGGTTAGTTTAGAGACCACCAATGACGCTCTCGGGGCCAGAAAACATGAGATAACGGCCGTTAATAGTCCATGCTCGGTGTGTAATCTCTTGTCGTCGTGTCGATCGAAACCGAAACCATGGCACTCTCCTCCCTGGCCAACTAGTTCCCAGAGTGCAATGCGCGCCGTGTTGCATGCAGGGCTTTATGGAAGTAGTCTATTCCCCAGTCAGCGTTTTTTCTACGCGATGAAATGAAGTTAATCAATTGCCCAAAAAAAAAAAAATGGACGGGAACTGCAATCTTTTGCCTCCCCTCCCCCCCCCCCCCCCCCCCCCCTGCCGCCCTACCGCACACACGCCCGCTACAGTGCCTAGAAATAAACGCCCGCTGTCGCACACGCCGTCTCGCTATCAGACGGCCGGAAGGGCGCAGTGGCGCATCGAGCGCAAGTGAGAATTTATCTCGGCCTCAGGGTGCGCCGTGTGTGCGGAGCAACGCCACAGGCGGCGCAGGTAGTACCGCGCGCCGGCTGGAGCGCTGTTTCAGCTCATAATGTCGGCGACAGTACATCGCTGCCTTTTACAAAGGCTGGTTGGATTTATCTAGCAGACCAAACTCATTCTACTAGAGTGATTTATTTTATTGATTAATCATTATCCAGTTATTTGGGTTTTATCCACTATGCAGTGACTTGTAGTACATCACCATTCACATACGAATAGAAAAAGGTGTATGGTAGGAGCACTTTTATTTACAAAAACTGCACACGTCAGTTACCTGGAATAAGATGGTATTGCTGATTCTTGAGATAACTCATTTTTGTGGTTGGCAGATTCCAACCCCGGCCGAGATACTCGCAGTTTGTTGGAGGCTTGTTGCTGTTATGATGACAGTGCAATTAAACGCAGAGGTGCAAGCGAGCTGGACAAGAATGACGAAAATAATCTCTGGAGAAGGGGAACAAAGGACAAAGCAATCTCCCAACGCAACTAGGTGACTGGTGCGCCGCTCACCAGACTCCTAGTTGTGTTTGTCCTTTGACCCCTTGTTCCCCTTCTCCAGGGATTATTTTCGTCATTGTTCCTGTGTTCGTGCTGGTTGCAAAATCAACGATCCCCAGGTGTCCTGAATCAGTTCTCTCTTCTTTCCTTGGGTGGTCCTGGTATCCTTCGTTTGCTTTACACAAAAACCACCAAAATTTCGTTCTGTGCTGTGCGTTCCAAGTCATTCTTTTTGTCCAGCTGCATTATTTATCGGTTTTATAAAGCTTCCAAGTATGATGCAACTCCTTCATTCCGGGGTTATGTCATGCACAAACTTCCAGTTGTGTAGTAAAACAATATTTGATATATTCCTATACTGGGCATCAACTCCTTTGTGCTAGATCGTCAAGACTAGCCTTGCATCCGCAGTGCTCCAACTCTGTCAAAGCAAATTGCGTGAGGGCATGTGAATAAAGCTCAAGACGAAGTCGAGTGCTCTCGCAGCAGTGTGTGGTTGCAGCAGTGTGGAAGTAAGTTGTGCTAGCCTTCACAATGTAGCAGAAAATATTTGACGCCAAGTATAGCACTGACCATACAACCGAACAGGGTGCCGTTGCAGGCAGATTCGGCGATGTGATGGCTGCAACATTTGCACCAAAGTGCTTATGCTGCTACATTTAATTCAGCTGGGAGAAAATTGTGCCTAAAGTTTGTTTCACTTTATCAATCCAGAAGCTAATAGCTCAATATTCGCTACACTGGTGGATAGTTACAGTAGCAGTGAAGTGATTGCTGCACCAGACTGCATAGGAAAGGCTTTTCTTCTAGTTTCTCAAAATTGGAAATTATGCTGAATGTTACTTTCACTTAATTAATATGGAAACCTGCAGCTCAATCATAGCTACAGCAGACTTTTGCGTATCTTAAACTTTCGGTTATTGCTTTGAATAATGTGTAATCCAATTTGATTT